ACTTTCTTAAACTGCTTTTCACAAGTTCTATGGAATGACACTTTCACTGAAGTCCATCTGTGGATGAAGGTGTTTTAATGCCTCGTTGCTGAAGATGAGATTGCTTTTTTTCTCTCAGAGCTTTTATGCTCACTACATCAAATAGTTACTTTAATTAGTGTTTAGGTAGCACAGTTTTTAAAAGGATATTTTGTTGTTAAGTCAGAAGGTAGATGTTTTGGAAGAAAGTAACTCTGGAAATGTGTAGGAAAGTGATGGAAAACCTGCAGTCTAAGGGCTGTCTGCCTGATGGCTCACAGCCACTGTTTCTCTGTTGTGTGATAGTGATTTTTGAAAACCCTCTGCTCACCTCCAGGGCAAAGGGTTCACAAGCCTAAGTATAAGATCTTTGGTGTATCTAGGGTTGTTGCTACCTCATGGCATGCTTTCCTGGTCCTCTAGTCACTCATGCAATACTAAGACAAAATTGTGCGTTCTGTAGGAGGCTTTCCAGTTCTTCATGGATTCCTGACGAGGGTTGCTTGGTGTGCTTCTTGCTTTTTATTAGTACAGTCTAGCATTTTACATACTTATTTTCATTTTCATGTCAGGCTTCCTTGCTTGTATGATTTCTTGGTATAGTAGCCTTTAGATCCTTGGGTGGTTTGTATCTCTTGCAGTCTGGTGTAATCACTAATTAAGAAGACTCTAAAACTGGCTCTGCAAGAGAGCATGAGCTTGAGAGCATCAATTTCAGTAGTCGGGGTACTTACTTTCAGTAAGTACAAGGCCTGTACATACATACACTTGCTATAATCTAAGTATTCTTGGGCTCATTCCTGAATGAACTAATGGTTTGATCCTTGCAAGTTACAAACGACCACTGATTCTTGCAGAGAAGGAGGTTTTAATCAGTTACTTACCAGGCCAAGGGGCAGTATGACTAAGAAGAGTATCATCGTCACTGAAAGACTTGTGAGGAGCAGGATTTCTGGTTTGATGATGCAGATTTTCCTCTGGCAAAGAACTCAACAAAGCACTTCTTTGGACTTGTCTGAAGAAGAAATATCAGGTCTTGATTTCAGGCATTTTGAGCTGCTGGAATCAGTAAGATAAGCCTTCCCAATGGCTTCAGGAAAGCTCTGATATGTGCTCTCACAAGTTGTTCTGTGTACTGGGGAAAGAGGGAATGGAGCAAATAGTCATCTGTCAAGAGTGGTTCTTGTGTCCTTTAAGTAAAGTACTAATGAGCAGCTGGCTATCTTTCCTCCAGCTTTTTACTACTACTACCATTACCACCACAAATGCAGAGCATGTACCGTAGAAAAGGGCAGAAGAAGATGACATGGCTGACTCGACTAGACAGGAATAGTAGCCATTTTCCACACCAGTGGTTGACATCAGGTTATTCTGTGCTCTAGTTTCTAAAAGATGGTATCAAAAGGAAGAATTTTTTACAAGCGGTTTAACGTGCAATTCCTTCTTTAATCTTGGAACAAAACAAAAAAAAGCCCCATTTCTGTTTCAAAACAGTCTCTATGTAACTCCAGAGCTCACTTTGGCATTTTGACACTGACCAAGCCTCTGTCTGGACAAGTCAGTACAGTTGGCAGAAGAATGCTATGAAAATTACCTGCAAGGAAATAACCTTTCTTCCCCAAATATGTGTTCTATTTAGTCAAAAGGCTCAGTTACACAGATTCTGAACTCCATGTGAGATGGACACCACCAGAAAAAGGTTCCAAAGCAAGATTCGGAACTATTTGTTGCTTGAGCATAGCTTTTCTTGTGGCCTCCGAAAGCTCAAATCTTGACCATACTACTGTCATGCCTACAGATAGAACAAGATTTACTTCTCTGTGTATCTTACACCGTATCTGCATTTTTCACAAGACTACTTCAAGAACCTTTGCAAGGATTATAGGCTGCCAGATCACAGTAGCAAGTAATTTTTAAGCAGCAATGATTAGTCAATAAGTGGTATCACATAATCCAGCACGCCTTTATCCAAAAAGGTCTTTCAAGTAAGGATATCATGACCCCTGACAAGAAAAGAACCATCAGAGAGAGGGTTGAGCTGGGTTCAAGGCCTCGACAAAATATCACTGAAATCTTACATTATCTAAAGGAGTCCCTGACTTTCACATACACTGGGCCACCCACCCACCCACATTGTTAAGTACTGCCTTCTGTTTCTGTGGAACATACTCCTCCATGCAAGGTATTCACAGAATTTTATTTATAATTTATGCACAAACCCCACAAGTGGCTACTTCATCACAGGTGCTTCCTAACTAGATGTTTTTCTTCCATCAGGACATGTTTTGATTTAACAGACAAACACAGGAGAAAGTCTACTCCATTATGTTGCAAGCCACCATTGCTGTGTCTGAAGAAATTACATGATGGTAAGGTTTGCAGGGAAAATCAATGGGATTCTGTGCATATGTTTACTCTGTGGTGGAGGCATTACGATGATGTTTCTGATGGGACTGATCTACATTTACTGGTTAAATTGATTTCCGATTTCTGTTCTCTTTGTCTAGGCCACTGCATGAATCATTATTGGTATGTAGGGAAGGTATTAGAATACAAAAAGATCCTATTGCTTCTGCTGCTGAGGGTTTGGAGACTTTTTTTTTGTGTTCTATCAGTCATTCCTCTCCCTGGTACTAGAGTCTGATTTTAGTACTACAAGTGGTACTGCTGAAAGGTTTAGTGGTGAAAATGATGGCTTCTGAAAGGGAAGTAGCCATGTCTTGTAGTGTTAGCTTGGCTGCAACCTGCCCTGGGGCCTTCCACCAGTCCTTCCACTTCTCTGATCTCCTGCTGGTTTTGGTCACACTCTTTGCCTGTTTCAGAGCTGTTGAGGACAAGCTAATCTGGCACAGCTGTATCCCTTACTATGTAAGCCTTGGATCTCTGTTGGGACCTCAGCTATAGCCTTGCATAAAGGAACATTTCGTGCTCAAGGGTGGTTGGAGCAGACAGACACAGGGCTGTATGGCAACACTTTGCCATACTTTTCGAGAGCAGCAGGGGGGAGTGGGTAAGAAGAGCTCAGGTAAGTGAGCAGGTATAAAGCAGCTTGTTAGTACCAGACACTGAACAAGCAGTTAAGAAAAGAGTGTTCTTGTGGCAAATTTATGGGCTGGGAAAGAAGACTTGTGAACACAGGAACAATGGGAGGATGGTGGGAAGAGGTAGGAACAGATGGGTTGGAGCAGGGCTGCAGAAGGCTGTGGAGACAGACAATAGTAAGAGTTGATATATGGGTCCTAATCCCTGGTGCCCTTACTGAAACCTTCTAGGGTCCAGTTTCCAGACAAGTGTCACTGTAGCTATTTGGGGGGAGGCCATCAATGGGTTAGACAAGATGCAACAAAGCAAGGAAAGGGGGCCAGAAAGAAAAAGTTGAGAGCTGCATAAAGCTTTCTAATATTCATGTTGCTTTCGTAGCAGTCTTTGTTGCCTTTTGGTTCTTCACTGCACCTCTTTCCTGCTGTAATTCTCCTGCTAGGTCATCAGATACCATAATCCTAGCAGGAGCCCACGTGCTACACTGGGGTTTGCCATACTATGCATTATTGCTTGAGAACTAATGAAGCTTGTATCTGGCAATATGCACTACTATAGGTGATTTATGATAGAGGAAAACAGATGTGCATTAATGACTGAACTGGGCTGCTGCTTGAGTGGTGTCTTGGCTAAATCCTTTCATTTTAAGTACAAGAATATTGTAGCTAGTTTAGGAACTAGATTGGAGGCTAAGAATGAGAGAGGGAGTTGGCCTTGTGCTAACATCAAGCTTGGTTGACTCTTCCATAGTTCTTTTGCACATTGGTTTTATTCATTGTCAGAGGAAAAAGTTATTTCTCAGTTCCCCAGCCCCATGGGCCAAGTCTCCCTGCTGTGGTGAGGGCTGGTCTCCATGGCTCTGGTAGCTGGCCTGTGGTGGCCCAGGCCCACAATACACTCGTGCCAGGTGCAGGACCCACAGACCCCCGCATCTCCACAGCCCTGCAGCTCCCGGGCCATCACTCCACTGCAGCCACCTCCACAGGGATGTGCACACACAGAGCACAATTTGATGGACATTATTTATTTTAGAGACCATCCCAAAGGGCTGGCCCAGGTCCTGCTCGCAGTGGGGATCTGTGGCCTAGCGCAAGGTGGGCACTGTGGCCCCAAGCCCCGTCTCCCTTCTGCCCATTACCAGGTGGCACAAGGCCTGCGGGGCTAAGGAGGGAAAAGGCAGGTGGTGAGAGTGGGCTGTGGGTGCGAACATGTGGCCTTTGTTTTTAAGTGATGTTTGTCCAGCGTGCTGCCATGCCAGTGAGAGGTGAGGGGGCGTCATAGGTGGTCACAGGTGCCATAGCCTTGTGTTCTTGATTTAAATCCAGAATTCTGTCTGGGGGTTATTTGTGCCAAAGCTCCCGTCTGAGATAACAGGATTTAATCATAATTTTTCCATGTACATTTGTAGCTGTTTTAACTACATGTAATGTATCCTAAATACATTATTATTTAACAGCTCAAAATGCTTCCAAAGGAGCTATTCAAGTAGTTTCTGTAAATAACACACCTTTTAAAGTTATGTGGAATTCTTAATGTCATTTGGGGACTTCTCTTGTGTTTTCTTAGAAAAAAAATGACTTCTCCAATCAGTATTTACCCGAAGAATTGAAATAGTACCATTTTCGGTTGTGCTAATTACCTCTTTACATGACCAATTATGTATCTGCTCATCTGAGATTTGGAGAGAGCTTCCCTGAAAGTCTTAACAGTCCTCAGAGGACTGTAGCTATAAGAGATATTTTAAATGCAGGAGGATTGAAGGATCTGGCATATTTTACAATTTTCCTGCTTAGAACATGTACGATACCAAACACTAATGAGTGGGAATAATCATGGATGAGCTCTGACTTCGGGAGCAGAGTATGTGAAGTGAACTGTAACTTCCCAGTGTTAATCCTTTCACCGCCTTCATTTTCAGCCTCACTCAACACTTACCTCTTCTGCAGCTCTCCAAATTTCTTAGAAGCCCCTTTGCTCCTCCTGCCTCTTCAAGCAAGAGCAACAGATGTTTCCTGTCTGTTTATTTGTGGAAGGCAGCGAGCATTGGAGCAGAAATGGTCAAAACTTTGTTCTGTCCTGCTTATGAGTGAGATAGTGTGAAAAAACAAACTAAGGACTCTGCTCTTGAATGTTGAACACATAAAAAGGAGGCAGAGTTAACTGGCCTGATGTCACTGCAAGGGACCTTTACATCTGAGAATGTTAAGGTAAAAGAGCTGTTTGTGGATGTCCCCTGTTCAGTTATCACACAGGTTTTTAAAACTGTGCAAGACTGCATTATCCCATCTATATAACTTCATGCAATTAAACCTATAAAATTAGAAAAAATTCTCAGTTTTATAAAAATACATAATTAAATCTACAAATTCATAAATAATTTATTGCTTACACAAAAGTTATATTCTTTTGTTTTGCTAAGTTTTTTGACAAAAATAAGTGATTGCCATATTAAAGCTCTGTTCAGTGTTATGCCACAAAAAATGAGTCAAGTGAAACACCTTTATTATTTTGAGTAAGGGCTGTGAATTTTCTTTCAATGTTCATGACTTTTCTCATGCTTTAGAAACAGGCTAGTTTTGAAGTTCAGCACCAAATACTGTAAGAAGATTGTAGATTTCAGAACCAGAGAATGTTAACAGCTGTAAAAGATTACAACGAAGTTCTTAAAAAATTAATAGTTATCTAAGTTATAAAAAAGTCAACACCAACCCTCCCCCCAACACTTGGCATGTCAAATATAAACAGTTTGCAGCCTGAGTGTTTAAAGACTGGTGTGTGCATGCAAAATGTGATTTGTTTTTCAAGTGCACCATTCAGCACATATTAGTGATCCCTGCGATTTAAAATGACATTTCTCTTTGAGGTATTTTAACCTGCGCCTAATCTGAGGAACACTCAAAGTAGCAATACCTGGAAAATGCCACAGAGGCCAAAAGTTTTCTACTCTTTTCTTGTTTAGTTTCTGTGTTTGGCAGCACACTTTTTGATCTGTTCATTTAGTGTGTGCAGACAATTTGTGCATAGCAGAGAAGTGAAATGTGAACCTGCAATCCCAAGACTTCAAAACCAGGCTGAGATACAGCTACTGTATTTGATGATTATCAGGTAATGTGAGGCTTTGTTGTTTATAAAAGAGATCTTGTATCCATTGACATATATTCTTTGTATATGCAAACTTACTAAGGCAAATATATTATCACTTGTTACCTTAGATTAATATTTCTTGGAGCATGAAAGTTTTGCACATTTTGAGGAAGAAAAAGGTAACTAAAGGGTCCAAGACTAATTACAAACAAGCACTTGAGTGAGGAGAACTTACTTTCCTGATTCTCTTCAGCCAGGTAAGCATAAATACTTGCATGAGACTGTTAAACTATTTACTTCCATGCTCTTCTCTCTCATTCTTTTCATTTCAAGAAAGACTACAAAAAGCACACTAACAGCAGTCTTAAACATCTATACAGTTATTTGGTTTTATCTCAAAGACTGTGATGGAATCTTGTCCCCCTTGATGTTTAGTGGATGCAGAATTTCATTCAAGGTGTTCGTTAGTTTGAGACAGTTGCTTTAATGGGAAGCATTCACCACATTTGGGTCAGAAGCAGACTGCTTCTGTCAGTCATCTCTGTCTTAACATTTTATTTTTCTGTCTCCTCCCTATTATTTCTTTCCCATTACTTTTATCACTCTGGAGTCTTTCATCTTTCTTCTCTCCCTATATAAATAGTACATTTTTTTAGCCTTTCTGTGCAATGTTTAGTTCTTACACATAAAAAATGTTATGCAGTAAATTATTGACTTTTGCTAGACTCCTCTTGATAAAATTTCTGCTGTTACTATCCAGGACTTCACCAAATTCTGGAATAGTTTTCCTTTTTAAAAGACTCTTTAATGTCAGAATATGACATGAACATGTGAGCATATTTGACAATGTTATGGTTCCAAATTTGTAGTGTACACCACTGAAGAACCAAGTATCATCTGTGAGAGATCAGAATCCATCTCAGGCTCAGCTTGGCTGTCTGAGTATTCAGCCATATGAAATGGCCATTAATTTGAATGTTGTGATCATCTATGAAAAGAGAGATGGCTTTGACTGTCACAAACTTTATGGTTGGAAATCTGTTACATAAATAAAGCTGCATAGGGGAACAGAGGAGTACTGGCTACAAAGGCAGCCCAAAAAAGCAAACCGTGAGCTACCAGCTTAGAAATCTGCTAATTGCTGTTGCAGAATGGGACTATTTTTGAAACTATAATAGCACAGAGACACGGCAAGCAAATAATAGATTCGGTACTCTTATGGAAATAAAATATTGCTGAAATGGAAGCTTCTATATCCACACTGAAGAGAATGAAAAACCAGGACAATGAACAAGGATAGCAAAACTGTTCAGCTTAAAGGAAATCATATAAGAATCCTAGTCTTCCCTAATAGAAAGAAGGAAAAAAAGTTTCAAGAATGTTATATGATTATAAGAAAGAAAAAGAAAGTTAAGAGGAAAGTAGTTTTCTGTATAATTTTGAATTTCTTATATGATAAGGTTTTCTATTTTTTTCATGCTGTCTCTATCTTAGATTCAGTTATGTTCTGACTTCTTTATACTTGGTTTGGCCTTGCTGGAAAGAAGTTAAATGGCATGGTCAGCCCACACATCTATTACAGAGATTCAGTTAGACCGGAGTAGAGGCAAATAGCAAAAACCTTCTGGCTAAACCTTTTTTAAAGGCATGTCAGAAATAGACTTTGAAAGAAAAGGTGGAGCTACCTGAAAAATGGTGTTTGTTCCAAGAACATGGAAAGGGGAATGCTTATATAATGAGAGAAAAAATGTAGCAGCTTTGTCTCTGGCAGCAAAAATGGAGAAAAGAAGCTGATGGAAACAAATTGCTAGATGAAATAAAAAAATTTTTGGCAAAGAAGCAGAGGAACACAGATTCTGAAAGAACCCTCAAGCAGCTTACTATCCTTAGAGGCCAATTAAACCTGAATCAGTCAGGAAAGACAGAAAGAGCCCTCCTCAGGCTTAATGAAAATTTATATCAGGCAAAATAAAGCCCTGAGATTATTGGCATATAAGGCATAGAATGCTAAGAGAAACAAGCTAGCTTGGCTATTAATGATACCAGGGTGGTATTTACATTTAAAACAAAATAAATTTGTACCATCTTTGAAGGTTTTCTGTGTCCATCTGTGTGTTAACAAAAAATCAGCTCCAGCTGACAAAATAGTCTATGTAATGAAGCAAATATGCCCCCAGGTTCCAGCTGCCCAAATCACCATTTGAAGCCATCTGAGTAAGAAACAAAGTAGAAAATATCGTCAGAAAAAATGTCAGCTAGCCCAGAGATTGTGTCTTTTAAATACTTCTAAACACCTTACTTAGCAACTTGTAATAGCAATCACTATGCTTTTAAAGACTTGTCAGCCTTTGCTTTTGGAAGTTGATAGATTGCTTAGCAAGATCTTGCTAAAGCATCTGTGTTAACTGTCATTGTTGTACAGTATATTAGAAAGATATAATCATCAGCATAAACCTGTTTTATAGTAGGGTCACCAGTTACTTAAAATAGTAGACAAAGCTCTATGTCTCTTGCCCCATGTCCCCACACCTTGGACCTCCTGCTATTTAAAGAGTGTGGCAATTGAAGGCTATTTTACTAGCATACCACTTCACACAAAAGGAAGTTTACGTGGGAGACTCATATTCTAGTTCCCCCTATAAATCTCCCTAAAGAGTCAGATACAAAAGTAAATTGGAGAGATTTGTAACTCAGAGTTAAAATCAGTACTTCTCAAATTTCCACTCTTCAGACATATAATTTTAGCATCCTTAAATGAAGTATATACCAAACCCCATGTGACTGCCGTCTTAGCTGTCTTGAAAGTCAGTTGTAGTCTAGGTTGGTAGACACTACTGACTCTCTCCTTTCACAGGGTACTCATATCATAGTGAAAAGTTTCAAATAGACTCTTCACTTAAAAATTTTAAGAGGCAGGATCAAACCCCCCCAAATTACAAAAGGCAAAACGAACCAATGAATAATTTATATTTGATCTAGAAATAAATATCCAAATTAGATTCCATATTTTATTGATTAGCTTTCTTAGGGGCAGGGAAAAACCTCTGCATATGGGCTCAGTAGAGAAGATTAGTCATCATCCACAGGATTTTTTTTTGTGGTTTGCATAGGATTTCCCATATTTTCTCACTATTTCTTTCACAATTCAATGGCAAAATTTTGAAACATTTCTGGACCAATTCCTGCATGCTTTAGGGGAATCCATTTTATCCCTCTTTTTCTACATCTACCTGTTGAAGTACTTCCTATGAATATACAATGCTCTAATTGCTTTTCATGCTGTACAGTTTCTGATACTCTTAGAAATAATATATAATTTTAAAACTATTTTTAAAGATTGAGAATGTACATATATCACTGTATACAAGTAAAAAAATCAAAATTGGAATAAATTTTATTTGTTGCTTAATTTCTCTGTAGTAAAAACTTATTCTAATCCTTTTTACTTTATTGATAAGGACTCTCAACTACATGAAAGTTGAGATGTAAGCTAGGTCTGGGTGCATTTTAGCCACCTGTTAGGATGTTTGATGATCACCAAAACTTTGGTATTTCTAATAACTGAGACTGTTTCTCAAACTGTCCTAAGTCCTTGTAGAATGCACTGAACCAGCTTTCTCCTTTTAACAGCTGGCTTGCCTTATGTAAGTACCTCCAGTAAGGTGTGAATCAATGCTATCCCTCATGGATATTTTCATTGCAATCCCAAATGCTTCCTTCCATGTATAGGCATTTGACAGAGTACATTAGTCCTGCAATAAGGCATATCAGCTAATGACTTTGTAATATGAACTGTGTATGTCCTGTCACAAAACAGACAGAACCTACAGAATATAAATTGACTCTTTGCATGTGAACAGGTGGAGTGCAAGGTGGAGGTTAAATGTATGCTACCATGTTATCTTGGTGTCTGTACTGTCATTGTAGACCTCTTATATTTTCCCCCATCATCTCCCAGATTCACATTTTAGAACCTAAATTATGTCCCTGCATTTGACTTACTGACAGATTCTACTTGATGTTGCTTCCAACTGAAACAATTACAATGCTTGGCCACACACAGTACCTGAGGATGTGCAAACCTATGTGAAAATGTATTTTGAAAAGCAGCAAAGTAAAGCAATCTTCTTCAAGAACTTATTTACCTTTCCCCTAATAGGTGGGAACCATGGATGGAATTGAAGTATTCATTCTCTGTACTGTAGCTGGTTATCAGTATGACAAGAAGACACATACAAAATTATCATAACACTTTTTTGTTTAGTTTAGTGAAATTGAATTAAGGCTTTCATTTGTTTTTATAAAGAAACTGTAGGGTTTTTTCCTTGATTTTTTTCACATGATGACCGGTGACACATGGCAACAGTACTAAGGCTATATCTGCTGTATTATAAATATACCAAATCAGCAATTGTCCTGTAGAACTAGAATAAAGAAGTTTATATCCATATATATCTGAAAAGTATAGATAGAATATGTATGTAAAACTTGGGTGGCAAGGACTAATTTTGTTCCTGAGATATAAATTTGAAAGGGAAATGCTAAAGACCTGTTTATCACTTATTTTTATGTTCTCATTAGAATTAAAATACCAAGTGGTTGCAAAATATTCAGATCCAGAACAGATTATTATTTTTATCTTATTCACCCCTCTAGAATTCCCAAAGGAAGAAGATGCCAATTTGGGGCTTGTTTGTTTTTTTATTTTACTCCACAATCTAAACAGTTCACCTTTCTCTTAGGCCTCATCACAGAGTTGCATAAAGTCCATTAAATGAAGTTCCTTGGGAAAAATGAAGATATGGAGGAAGACAAGTACTTAGTAAGGGGAGGTAAGAGTTAAGGCCTGGGACCACAGAACAGCTGGAATATGTTAGTTTTACAGGAAGGCAGCCTGGAGAGGGAGTGTGAACTGCCAGCAGGTGGCTGGGAATGGCTGAATAACTCAGTGGTGGAACTGGAAGAGAGTTCTGCCTCTTACTGTGATGACTCGGCCAACTTTAGCCTGTTTTTCTTTATAACAGGGGACCTTTGTCAAATCCCATTAAAGTAAATTTAGCATTTCCTTTAAATATAATAGGTTCTGGATCTGGCCCCTGCTTGTTTTGACACTGTTTTTGTTCACTCTGTCTCTTAAAACTTTACCTTATTCTTTCTCTGATGAGGAAAAGAAAGCTGGTTGACTGCTAGACAGGCTTCAAAGGGTGAGACACTGATATGTCCCTTGGACAGACTGCCTCCAAGTCAAGCAGACACTGTTTTGTTAAGAGAAGCTGCAGCAGACAAGTCTGGGAAGAAAGGTCTGCTGGGGTTTCCCTTCTGCATCAAGGAAAGTTATGCTGACAAAAGAGAGCTGCTTTTACCACAGTGATGCTTTGCTGTGCTTTGCAGTACTGGTCAATGTCCTCCAGAAGTTCTGGTCATAAAGTGGGCTTTGCTCTGGGTGGCACTATACAAACACAAGAAGCTGGCCCTGCCCAAAAGTCCTTGCAGTGTAGGTATAACCAGGAAGCAGAAGACCCAATGGCAGTGCGGGGCTGAGAGTGTAGCACAGCAGTTTTCTCAGCATTTAATTGGCACAGTGTAAGAGAAAGTTTGAAGGAAGGATCTGAAGGTAACAGTATCCTTTACAGATATTTCTGAAAATCTCCTCTCAAGCATGAAAAGCAGTGTAGGCTAAGGTATATGTGTTATTATTTGACCATCCAACAGGATGGCATTTGGGCAGGATTTGAAGAAACAATACTGGAATAACTGCGATGTGAGATGATAAGAGTTTGGAGAAGAGTTTTACCTATATGGATGTGTGGGAAAACTACCTCATGCACTAAGCAGTAAGGTTCTGTAATCCTTGTACATGGCTATTAGGAGAGGATCTATAGAGAGGTCTAAGTTGAAGATGATATCTGAATTGTGTGTTTGACTGATCATAAGGATGGCAGTATTACAACAGGAGACCTTGTGCAAGGTTAACTTGGAGAGAGAGAAGGGTGTAGAGAATAACAACTTTATTTCAGCCATACTGATCATCAGCTAGTGATTCAGAGAGAGCTGTCACAGAAAGATGCAGATACTGGGGAACTGAAGTAGTTTGTGTTGGCACATGTACACTAGAGGGATTTATTGAAGTCAAGAGAGGTGGTTTTTAAGGTGGGATTGGGGAAGACTAACCAAGGACAGAATCCCAAAGAAGTTGCAGTGTAGGTGTGAGATTAGAGGCTTCAGATGCAGACAGGGGAGCACAAGGAAACAAAACACTTGACAGAAAGCTGGCAAGCTGGAGGGCATAATCACAGGGATTTCTTCACACAGCCCCTGCAAAGGTGCGCAGATATTAAAAGTAAAAGAAAATGTTAAACCTCAACTCAAGAAAGACCAGTATATCAAGAAGAGTGTTGCTGACTGTTGATGCTGACTAAGTCAGGGCTGGGGTACATCAGAAAAAAATTCAGGCAGAAGAGATGAAACAACTTTAGAAAGTATATACCAAGATCATATGAAGCTGAACGTACCGAGTGTTGGTGGTAGTTAGGAAAATGTTCTACAAGGATTATGAGAAGGCTTTTTACAGACAAGATCTTAAAATTTGAAGGAACAAACTACAGCTAGAAATCCAATTCCCTCATAAATGAAACACTCGTCACTAATGTAATCTGTATTTCTTTACATGGCTATATCCTTGTTGTTATATTTTACTGTGTCTTTGTTACTTTACCAGAGTAGTATGTAAAATGTTCAGATTTTTGCTAAGACTCAGCATTTATTAATCTTGGTATTTTGCCAATAAAAATATCTACTTTTTTCAGCTTTATATTCTTGTAAGGGGACAAAAGAAATGACATCTGAGAATTTACAGAGAGGTGTTTAATAGAATATATGGTTGAGAATTGATAGTTATTTTTGTTACAATTAGCCAAAATTTTTGTTGCAAGATACAATCAATTGAAACAATAGCACTGTACTCCAATGAAATTGTAGTTATCCAGTAGAGGCATTGGCTATCTTATATTTTAACAAAATATTCAGTACAGATTGCTTTCTAAGAGGAAAACCCAGTGACCTATTACAAAATAATTTTGTCAAATGTAAAAGGATAAGCTGCTTGGCATTTCTGATCAGGCAAACTACTGCTTTAAACTCATGTATAGATAATGAACTAGCAGTCTGCATAAGAGCTTTCATGACAGTAAGATAATAAACACTGAACTGACATAGATAAATTGGCATGAGTTGAACAAAAAAAAACCTGTCAAATTATCATTTTTATTAGGACGATGTATTTGATTATAATGAAAACAAATTTGCTGGTGGCTCCTTGCAGCAGTAATTTTGCTGTCCAAGATGACAGAGTTAGTTCTGAGAAACTTTTTAATTGTTTTATCCACATAATGGCATACTGATCACTTTTATGTCACTGGGCAAGGAAATAATCTCAACAACAAAAGCTAGATTTCATACCAGAGGTACCACTTTTATATTTAATTCTTTGTTTGTGGCAGTACAAATGAAAATAGTTGTATAGCACGATGGCTGGCACAGTGGAATCCGTATTGTCCCTGTTTTTGAGCTGGATAGGAGAAGACACAGAGAATATGTACATATAAATTACTTGTGTTTAAAACAAAAATTTTTGCAGGACCCTTGATAGTGTGGCTATGTAAAATACTTCCCTTGAACTGTTCAGAGGGTCTGCAAATGATAGGTGGTTTCACTGTAGTTCCGCAGGATTCTCCCCAGTGTCTCAGCAGATGCTTGTTGCCACCTATGTCCCTGACCACTATGGATGCTGTCGTATGAGTCAGAGCTTCATTCCCAAATGTATCAATCTCCCAGAGTATCCAGGTGAGGAGTCCAAGTGGCTGGATGATGGAGCCACATCAACATTTTGTGTGTTGTTTGCAACAGAAGAAGATCTGCTCAAATCTTTGTTTTATAGCTTAATTAGCTCTGGTTAAATCTTTACTTTAGGGTTGCACTAGGCATCTCTAAACTCAGTGCCTGAAACAGGAAAAGAGATGGTGTCTGTCTCGGGTTTTTGTGAGCAGCACTACATCATATAAAGATCAGTGACTTGAACTGTGTAGCCTATTGATCATACACCTGAACTGTCTGTTATCTTTTTATCATACTTAGGAGGGTGAAAGTTACAGGTGGCCATACAGATAATAAAAATAATAAGAAACAAATTACCCTAGTTTCATAAACTTATGTTAAAAATTAAGGTAGCAAAGGGCCATGATTTTTTTTATACAGTGTATACTCATTTGGAAAACACAGGATAATATTTTGGATTATATATGGAGAGAAAGTGCACTGCTTGATATCTTATTTCACTAAATATTTCAGATATTTTTCTCAAAACCACAGGTGATTATATTTATTTGATTTAATTTCGAAAAATGTTTTGCTTATGCTATACCTTTCTTTGGTTTCAGTAATCTCAGAAGCTGAAGAGACTGACCAATTTTTTGTCCTTTAACATGTTACATTGCTACTGAAACTTTCCAGCACTGAACATTTCACTGATTCCCTTTTCTCTGCCATCTGTCTGATCTGGCCTCTTTCCAAATAATACTGCTTTCCTAGTGGATACGGTTGTCCTGGTACAAGAGTTTTCAGTCAGAGTAAGGAAAATTCACATTGTGTTCAGTTTTTTCTTTGATAGTGTATATAAATATTGAATGGCCATGTACACTTGCAGTTTGTAGATTCTAAGATGCACACAAGAAAAAAACTTGTTTGTCATAAACTCTGACTTATGCTCTGCTTTATTGAAAACCTGACACTCGCTGTTAAAAATATTTGTGTTTTCTGTCATTATGGTCTGTGTTAGTATGTTTATTTTGACAATTACTTTATTACAATATCTGAAGAATGGATGTTTTGAAATCTGGCTGTCTGGTTAAAAAACGTAAAGTTCCAGATTATACACAACCTTGCAGAAGTGTTAATTCAACATTTTGGAAACAATTGTCTTATCTTAGAAGCTCAACATGAAATGTCTTAGGAATGATAGTATATTTTAGAAGCTGAGCACCATGTGCCATTTAATGGATTGTCAAGTTGGGCACAAAATCACAAATCTCTTCTTGACCAATATCTTCAGAATTTTAGATTTATTTAAATTATATACTGTCATCATATATTGCTTTAGGTTTTACATCATATCTAAGGACATCAACAGAGAAATTAGATCTCACAGATCTAAGAAAATGCAATGCATCATTAAAAATACATATGAAAAAGCATTGTATTTTTACGTGCACAAGTGCATTAACTGTTGAAAAGGTGGAGAGGTCTCATTTCCCCTTCTTCCTTTATGCTAGAATCACTTTCATGCTAATAATTAAATAGTGCGTTTTATAGTGAGCAATTGTAATAAAAACCCATCAGATACTGACAACTTCTTTCAAGAGGAGCATATTACATTATATTCTGAACGATGTAGATCATCTCTGAGCAGTGTTAGAATTTCTTGTCAAACAATTAACACTGACTATTCCAGAATATATCTCACAAGCTTTTTTTTTTTTTTTTGCTATTGTATGCTCTCTCTCACATTTAAGGGAGAACACTTCGAACACTTCACTTTTTCTTTAAGAGAGAGAAATGTTTTAGGTTATCTGTAGTCCAGGTTTCAAGAAGTGATTTTCATCCATTCGACTGAAAGCCTGAACCTTTGGCTTTCAGGATCTATCGCTGTGTCAGCGTCACTTCCAAACTCTTGACTAGGAGCTTGAAACAACTGTCTTCTCAGGTAGCAAGCTCCAGGGTTAACTCTGAATCCTGTGCGTGCTGGGACAAGACGCTGGGAGTTCAGTCAGTGGTTTGAGGATACACATGGAGGGTAACTCAAAGGTGTTGGCACTATTTAAGTCTTCCCTAGGCCATAACTTGAAGACTTGCATTTGATTTACACAAAGGCCCTTTTCCAGTGCCCTGGCAGTACAAAGGTTGCATTTGCTTAGCTTGTTCTGAACTGGAATTGTGGGAGTAGTGAATGTAAGCACGTGTTCATTTTTTGACCTGTGCTGATACACTGAAAGAATGGTTGGTAACTGGCATAAGGAGATTCAGGAGTGGCTGAAATCAAGGCAGCCAAGGACAACAATTTCACTCCAAAGGCAGATAAAATTGATAAAACTCATATGTTAAATAACTTCCTACTGAGTCTCTACCTTGATAATTTAAAAATGTCTCCTGGGAGAAATAGAAAATATTAATTTTCTGGGTTTCATCTGGAATTCTAGAATGTATATTTTCTACCCTCATGTAGTTTTTTGTAACAAGAAAGCTCTTTCTTCTCTTTTGGGAGTGAATGTGTTCAGTACAAAAAGCAATTATTTTTTAGTTTATTTATAAGTTTATCAGTTTTTCCAGTGTTGTTGTGAGTTATTAATACACTGTCTGAAAGATTTAATTTTTTTCCCCAGTGATCAGCATTCAATGTAACTGTCTGGAATTGTATCTGTATTTCATTTTGTGCCATTATGATATTAGTTTACTGTATTTTCTTTACTAAGCAGACACTCAGCACCTAACTCATAGTGCAGGGTGTAGCTTTACAACCAGATGATATTTATTACTCTGGTAAACTATTTGAAAAAAGAACCCCAGACTCTAACTTGCATGAAAATGAACATATTCTCATGTAAATTCCTAAAGAGGAAACTGGCAGAATTAACAAGTATGAAAAAGTATTGCTCTCTTCACCAAAGTTTGCCCAAAGGCTGGGAAGCAGCTGAATTACTGGATAATATTAATATCTTGGTTTTACTGTGAAACAGATGTATGCTGCCTGATCTTTTTCCTGTGGGAAAAAAAGAACACATAACAACAACAATCACACGGCCCCTCCTTCTGCCCCAAACGTAGCATTTTATAATGTTAGATATAAATAAACTGTGATTTTTTTTTTTTTAAACTTCAGCTAGCAACTTTGTCATCAATTCTTGTGAGATGAGAATCAGGCCTTATATTTAATAGGAGATTCACTGTTATTTAATTACATGAATGTGGTCAGAAAAAAGTCTTTCTGACCAGAAAGTGGAAATAGGATTGTGATGTTGAATATATGGTTTTGTTGCAAGCAGTGTTTTTTCTATTAACACTGTTGACCCTGAGCCCTGATTTTGTAGACACATAACTTGGTTGCTAAAAATAGGAAAATAGGCTTATGTATGTAATTTATTTTAAAATGTTTTTGTCTTTTTTTTATGGAAGAGAGATATTTGGAGAGGGGGAAATATGGATCACGGTATTTGTAACAAATGCAAAATGTTTACTAATACTAGTTGCTTTTGTAGACTTTTAATTTCCAAATAAATTTGAAAAGTGGTTAGTTTGTAGCATTGGACTTATTTTATTGTTCTGTCATTCCTGGCAATGTTTAGAGCATGATCATTCCAAATTTCAAGAGGAAGAAAGAGAATTACTGCCAGTGATTGCCATCTTAGCGCCTCTGCAAACCTGGGTGAGTATGCTTGCTCCATGAAGAGTCTATGTACGAGGAACTACCTTTGGCTTGTAGAGTGTTCTTCTAGTAGAGATGTGCTGCATGGCAGCTATAGTAATAGCCTCAAAACTGTTGTCTGAATGGTCTTGTTTCCCTGTTCTTTTTCTTTCATGCCAGCATCACCACTGTTGGAACTCTCTAGAGCACAGCTGCAGCATGACCCACAGTGTTTCTGCCTCCAGTGTTCATTGTTGCCCCTCCATGGTAGAACTCAGAACCCGGTAATCAGTTTGAGGTGCCTCAGCAAAGCTGGCATACCTCCTAAAATCTGGCCATGCAACTAAGCCTATGCCTTTCCATATGAATGGCTCCTTCAAAGCCAGTAGGACCGCTCAGAGAGGCTAAAGCTCAGCATGTGGGTCAGCATTGTTAGTGTATGTCTTCCCCTTTCGGAAATGGCTATGTGGATTTGTGTTTTGAAATGCTCTGAAAGAGAAGCCCCTCCCACACTAGAGCCACGAAAATATTCCAGATAGCAAAGACAGCAGAACACGTCAGTCATGCTACCCTTGCACTACCCAGACATCTGTGAAAATTTCATGCTTGTGTGAGCAGATTCTGCAAAGGGCTGAATTTGGCTGTATATCTTTGAGGGAATACTTCCATTTTCCCTGCTGTGCCTGCCTGTTATATGCTTTTAATTGTCCTTGGTATTTGGGGGAAAAATAAAAGGCACAAATTAAATAAAATGTGTAAACAACAGGAGAGGGCAGGCTTAAACTGACAAAAAGCAAAAAAATCAGACTAGCTGTAAACCTGGAAACACTGTTCCCAACTCCTAGCGTGTGCAGGAAATGCAGCACATATGGCACATGGAATCACCTGGAGCCAGGCCTCTTTGTTGCACCTTGGCATAGGAGAGCAGGAACAAAGCAGGGGTGCAGATTTTAACCCTCAGGTGCCTGGTGTCTGGTAAGGATCAGCTTAAGCCTGTTCTTGTACTTGGCTTCCCGTTCACAAATATATGATGTTAATAATAGAATCATTACTGAATGATCTCTTTTGTACTTAAACGTGGATAGCAGTACGTTTTTATTGGTTAAAACCTTTCAATATAATTCTTTCTAGTCTGTAAGAAATGCATATAGATGTAATAGTATTCTTTCTTATAGAAAACTTGAATTTTATTATAATGACACTTCATTTATGATGCTCCTTGCAAAAGCTGTTTCTGATATTATGCTTTTAAGTGAGCTTCTCAGTGTTCCTTACAATCATTAATGAATCAGACTTTAGATAAAGACAGTGTAGGTATGGCAGCATATCATTATACAGGGGAGTAGAGTGAAGCATGAGGATGTAAATATTTACTACATCTTGCATGATGTTGAGGAAAAGATAGCTCTAAGAGTAGGATGATGTTTTTTACTGTTCATTGTGTACTTATCATAAAAAAAAATCTTTGAAAAATTCAAACCTTTCCTAACTTCTGCTTAACATTGGCAAAAATGTTTGGAAAAAAACTAAAGCAAAATGAAAAAAAAATCAGAACATCTGATATTAAGTATTCATTCTGGTTTTGGTTTGTTTGTTTGTTTGTTTCTTTTGTTTTGTTTTCTTAAAAAGGTTTCTTCTTTGGCTTTTTTTGTGGTTTTGGTTTTTTGTTTGGTTGGTTAGTTTGGTTTTCGGCTTGTTTTTTGGTATGACATTTTTAATTTATTTGGAAAAAAAAATATAAAAATCTTCAGAAGGGTAGAAAAATACCTGCAGATTGATGCCAATCCATGGGATATTTTTACACAAGACATCCTCCTCAAAACCCCAAAAATTGCTACATCTGCCTCCTTTCCTGCTCTAGAAATTTGTTTCATTTGTTCGACTTACTCTACTACAGATCACTGTGATACCACTAAGTATGTGCTCTGAATGTTATAGTAATGCACATGCATCTCTGGTCAGTTTGTCTGTCAAGACTTATATGTTTTTCTGTATTTCATGCACTTCTAGAACAAAATGGGTATTAATTCACAGATTATTATACATCAAGCATTGTAGAGCAAAACAATTGTTACTCTTTTTTTTTTTTAGGGGCATCATCACTATCACAGGCTGATATTGCACAGCTATATGATTAACTGGAATCTCATTTTGAAATAGAGAAGTGCAAGATTTCAAACTTACGGGTATAATTGTATGTATTTTCAGAAATTGAAATGAGCTTATACAGAAATACTCAAAATAGACCTTGAAGGAGGAACCAAAAATGTCCAGCAAAATGTATACATTAAGCAGTTTTAAGAATGTGTTTTGTATTTCAAAGGCAACAATTCCTTGGAACCCTAGAAAAGGGGGCAGCTCTTACCCAGTGGGACTTTGCTTCTACACTGGCATTTTCTGTTTAATGAAATTTCTGAAATATAATGGTGTAACCACTTTAATATTTATGTCTATACACAGTTAAATACAATTTTATGTCTTACATTTTTTTAAAAGAAGTGGACTAGGAACATAGTGTAGCCCGTGCTGCATTAATTGTCAGAAAAACAATATGTATATTCAGTTGAGACAAGGAAAGCCAGAAAGTTTTGGCTGTAATTAGCAGTTTTTGGGGAGGAGGACTCTACTTTTGAAAACAACTTGTTTGCAGTAGTTGAAATTTGATTACTCAAAATTATCACATTATCATATTGTTGCTACAGTCTGTTTTCAAAAACATAGCTTTAGTACAGTGAAACAGATTTCAAAGTTACCAGGAAAGAAGAACATTTAACTATAAGCATGTGAGTCAAGCTATCTCTCCCTGCGTAGAGTGATATCAACAGCCACAGGTTCTTCTGAGCTGGACAGAATGCTTCAGCACGAAAGCTTCACAGCTGTTTTAGTCCTTCCTTTTCCTGAGCTTATATATGCTGTGACGATATGGGCGGTTTGGATCAAAGCTGAATTGCATTTGATTGCCCTGAAGCAGAGAACAGAAGAACTCGCATCTTGAAATTAGACACAGTTGGATTTTCAGTGAAGGCGTTTCAGTGAAGACTTAAATTCTTGAATCTGACCCTAAGTGCTGTGGTCTCACTTTTGTGTCTGCACTGAGTTTGTTACTTGGTGCCAAATGATCCTCTCTTCATCAGGATAAAGTCACTACATTATCAGGTTTGCATTCTGTAGCATTTACCTTTTTGCATTTATTACAAGAAGATTTACATTTTGTAAATGTATTGGGGACTGCTTGAATTACACAAGTGAGCTCTGAGTTTTGATATCTTAATGGAAAAAAAGGAAGTAAATGACAAATGAATTCTTGAAATTTCCCACCTGAAACCTCAGAGAGAGTGGGGGGAAAAGTTCTGAGAGAAGGCACTCTCTGAAGAGGGCAAATGGGGGACAGATGTGTGACTTCAAATACCTGCAAATTCGTGACTGAGTGCTCTAGTTTTTATATGATAGAAGGTACAAGGAGTAGGTTGCCACCATTAATGCTATTTTACAAATAGCATTTACTAAAGTGAAAATGTTGTAACCAGCCTAAACTGTTTACTAAGCAGGTAGTTATTTTTTTGGTTGTCTCAATCTGCAGCTGTTAGCACGCACACTTATTTTCCAGTGTTAAAGAGACATGAATGAAGCCACTGACAGTGACTGAAGGCACTTCTGCTGAAGTAGCCAAAATTAAACATTTTATTTGTGAAAGAGGATAGAAGAACCTTTGATGTCTCAAACTCTTCTGCTGTTCCCTAAAGCTTTTCACACCAGCTACTCATCTCAACTGGAGAAAACAGCACTTGGGAGTCAGAGAGGAAAAGTGTTCAGTGAAGAAATTCAGTGATGAGAGAAGAGTTTCATTGGTGTTGGAAGGCAAACACAGAAAAGTAAACACAGCCCAGTGGATTACAACAGGTTAGTAAATACAAATGCTGTAACATTTCCATAGAGCTCTTTCTGTAGAAGCAACTGTTATATGCAATGTAGAGTGTTGTTTTATTATTTTCATCACATTTTTCTAAGTTATATGCCTTTCTTCATTTTTAGTGTGCTTTACTCACAAAAGTTGTTTGAAGTCACTGAATAATAACACTGGTAGACATTAAAGTTTCAGAAAAATGTGGAAAAGAGGTGTTACAATTTAGGTAAATCAGTCATTATCAAGGTGTTTTGGGATTTGCTGGTTTGGCTTCTCATGTGCTAAGTCTCCTGTAATGTGTTACAGTTGTGAAACATATTCCGACCTCTCACAACAGTGCTGAGAACCGAGACACCTCTGCCCCCACTGAACTTTACAGGAGGGAGAGAAAGGCCCATTATTAGCTTTTGTGAAGTGCAATGAGGTACTGATGAAATGATCTATATCACTCTGAATTGCCTTTGTTCATTACACACGGAGTAGTCCCTGAGCAGAGGAGAGGGAACATAAATGAAGTATTTATTTAATATCAAGGTGCTAAAATCTAGGCAGCACATTGTAAGTAAAAAAAAATGGCATTTGGGAATTGACATGCTAACATTTGTTCCTTTCAGCTTGTCTTTTTTAACTTTCTGTTGTTTCTTTTTATCCATGCAAAATTGTCAAAATGTAAACACCTCTCTATTGACAAGATACACTAATGTCCGTAGTAGTAAAAGAAGCGTTGACATGAAGGCTAAACTAAAATGGAGAAGGATTTCTGAACTATTCTAAATTATTTTTTTTCTTTCATAGCTATGGGCTGACAGATAAATTCTACTCATTTGCAGACAGCAACTTCTTAGTTCTTCTGCAGAGAAGTTGAGAGGAGAGAGTCGTATTTTGCTATCTGCTCTCCCTGTATTTGAAGTATTTAATTGTATGTCTCTTGTTTGAGACTTCCATAAAATGGAGAAAACCAGAATTGTTCCCCAAAGAAAAAGATTATTTTCTAGCATTGCCCTACTTGCCAAATTTCTTGTGACTATCACTGTATAAGATGATATGCAAAGATGAATGAAGGAGGTGAGGGTAAAAGATTTATAACCCAAATAATACCAGCACACTTACTTCCACCTATACCAGACTCTGTCATGCATTAATAACATCTCCTTGTAAAAAATAGATCCAGACTTCCATTCGGACACAGTTAACTTGCAGGACTGGTAAGTTGACTGGGGGGTCAGTCAAGCTAACGTACATAAATGCATACTGGTTTTATATATGATAAGAAATACAGTGCTTATTTTTGCTTTTTCTGAAAGATGAAAAGAAATCTTTTTTATTTATTTCTATTTTCTCTTAGCAACAAAATCTTAATTTGATTTTCTCAGTATGGTTAGCTCATATGTGAGACTTTAGGCACTCCTGTACTTTCACTATGTCTTTTTATTCTAGTGAAAAAAGTACTCATTTTAGCAAGGCCACTTACAATACTTGATCATATGTGAATTGACAGAACAACCTACATCCTATTCCAATTCCTTTCATTCTGTAGATTTTTGCCTATGCAACTTGCAGTAATTCCTATGAAGCTGTCACAATCTGTTCTATCAAAATTACTTACAGATCGTGTTGTTCAGGGATCGTTGAGATGATAGATTGCTATGGTCTCTCCTGTTAATGTGTGCTTAGGGAGTCCTTCATTTACACAATAGACTTATTCAATTTTTGGTGAAATGTGATTATTACTCTTGCACGGAAGACATGCTCAATCTAGATATGGCTTGCTTATTAAAGAAATTGTATAAAAATAGGATGTCCCTCCACAAAACTGCTTTTAACCTTACAAACTAATTGCCTTTACCTTGCCATTTGAAGGACTGACAATTTTGCATAGCACTGGACTGTTAGTAAGGGCTGGCAAGAAGTCCAGCTGAAACAGAGGCAGATTGAAGCATAACTGATGGCTCAGGGTGACTCAAAATCATGAAAAGCTCACTGGGAAGTGTAATCCTCTTTTCACCAGCTCAGATGTGTTCATTATATTCCTGGCTAGGTGGCAGAAGTGTGGTTAGAATGGTCCATTACTGGTTGTGGAGCTGTGTATGAGAAGATTTTAATATTTGAAGGTATCAGGCAGCTTGGACAACTGTAGTCTAAATCTAACCGGTTTTATCCGTAACATTTTTATTCAGCCCTTTTTAATGAGAATGGTGATGACTTTTAAAACTTTTTCTTACTCAAGTGCTCCTTTGATGTTGTTATCTTGGTTAGAATCCCATTTCTTGGTAAGTCATCTGTACTGTAACTGAGTAGTGGTGGTCTGAAGATCTAAAACTGAGGCAGGAAAATAGAGGAAAAATTCTAAGTATAATCCTGCCAGTGTTTGTTTCTGTCACATTTCCTCTATTAGGACTGTCATGGCAGTAGGCTATACCTGCTTAAGTAGTAGCTTATAAGGTTGACCCTCTGCTTGAGTCAGGAGCCTCCTAGATTATGAGCATGTGGGAGAATATGAACTGAGGAATGCAGGAAGACCCTGGGAGCTGCTTTTTTCATAAACTCAACAACTGGTATCTGCACTGCTGACTGCACTTTGTGCAGTATCTGTTATTTAGGCTTTTGTATTCTCACTTGTACTTTTAGCTTCAACTGGGCATGTGAAACCACACACCTTATAGAAAGAAACTAAATAAATGGATTGTGTCATTCAATTTCAGGGGATTTATCCACCCTATCTTGTAATTTTTACTTACATGAATAATCTTTGTTTACACGTTCTTAATTTGAATGGGATTACTTGCATTAGTGATAATGTGAGTAGCAAGTACAGGATTAGTTCCTGTATTTGTCAGTGATGTCAAAAGCAACAGAATATACAATAATTTGGTTACATTTTCAATTATAATCTGAAATTAAAGAGCTTTATTTTGGAGCTGTTGCTCTGAATAGCAAGTATTGATACTTGTAATTGAATTCTGAGATAGAACTTTCCATACATTTGTAATGCAGAAAGCTCTCTCATTATATGAAATTCACTTGGCAGATGAATGGTCACCACTTAGTAACAACATTAAATCCTGCCTTTCAAGAGTCAAAAGGACTGGAATCTGCTTCTAAGGTAAAATATTTAATCTATTTCATATCTCAAAATTCTATAGTCTGAAATTACTAGGTTGAGAAACATTTTGATAAATATTTGAGTACATGCTGTGATTAATTTGTATTAGAATTGTACTTTGAACTAGTGTAATTCATGTTGGTAGGACACCTGATGAGGTGATCCTGAAAAATGCTCCAGGAAAACCTACAATGAAAATTTAGCTGCTTTGAGCAATTTTCAGGACTCAGAGGTAAAATTTGATATAGTGTAAATAAGGGTGGCAGAATGAAAATAAATTATGCTGCGGCTAGCCTGTTTTCCACAGCTAAAGGTTTCGGGGATTAATTCTTTTTTTTTCCTATTTTTTGCATTGTAGAGCTTAATTTAAAAAAAATTATTTATATTTAGTTCATGCGTAGCTTTTGCCCTTCTTGTAATTAAACAGAAAATGTTGGGAAATCAGTAATTTTAGCAAATATTCTTTTTTCAATGCCCAAGACTTTTATGGCTGGATAAATGCTGTCAACTTTTATATAAAGCTTTCTTCCACCTGGAAGGGATGTCTCCTCAGTAAAGAAAAAGTAGGGAAAGAAAATCTGAAAAATATGGACAAATTAGATATATCTCCTTAGCCCAAACTAAAATCAAGTTATTAGCATTAATAACTGAAAATATGTTTACAATACAGCCTTGCAGTATTTTGAAGACCAGATGTATATCATACCAGGCATTGTGGCTGCAAGTCACTTTATATGCAGGGACATGCGGTGACCCTGACTCCAATCATAGATTATTTGACAAAGAAGCAGCAGTAGACAGTGAGTGTAGTCCTGTTGTTTGCACACACTAAGTGATACTGCATGTATTACCTCTCTGAAATATGAGATGCAAAAAGTTTTTTGCTTTAAAGTACCCTGGCCTTTTCTGGAATCTTAATTCTCTTCTCCATGGCCAGCTTCCTTACTGGTCTGAGAAGGTGACTCAGGACTCTACTAACACCTTAATCTTCACTGGAAGTGTTCAGGACCACAGCAGCAGTTGGCTGCCAGTAAATTATAATATAAAATCCTTCCATTATTTTTCCCCTTGAAATTACAGAAAGGATAATCACAGTCTGGCCTTTAATAAAGACTTACACATTCTGATTTAGGGTAGGTATTTCTAATGTTTGGTTTTGTATTTTGTAAACTGCTGGACTTACTTTAAAAGCAAATATGACAAATAATGAAAGCCTGTTGTCTTCAATTGTACTACAAATTGTAGATATGTGAGAATTGGCTTGATGTCTGAAATGAAAAATGGGTACACAAATTTCCAGGTTTAGAGAAACTGCTTTTATAGATACATGAAGAAGGAGTTAAAAAAGGACATATTCTTTAGATTACCAAAGAATAACAGCAGATTTTAGTCTTGCTGCAAAGAACACAAGTTTAAGTTATAGATGAAGGTGTTATAAGACTAAAAGCTCAGCTGTTCTTCTTAGTTATATCAGACAGTCTATAAGAATACATTACTTTTTCAGACAAAGCTTCCTTGTCTTATAGCTGTAGACACCTGGCTACTACTTAAGACACAGAAATACTGCCAAAGAAAAAAGAAATTATATATGAAAAATTAGATAAATAATATGACATTCTAGTAAAAGTAGGAGTTTCTGCTAGATGAGCAATAGGCAGTCTGATAGAGTTAGATAATTGTCTTAGCATCATTAGTAGCTTGAGTTAGAAGAGAGAATTTAGGAAATTGAAGTTGATATGTCCAAATACTGAAACAAAGAACAAGATTTGCATATTTTTGTTCATAGACTCATTTATTGTTCAAGTTGTGTGTTCATCTGCAAAAGATGAGAGAACACCACCATAGGTTGCGTTGATAAAAGCAAGGGCAAAATTCAGGGACAAAACTCAGGGGAAAATAACTAATCTTTCCTAATTTGTTCTGAATTTGGACATGCAGACCTCAAATACTCTAATTTCTGTGAAAATGGTCCCTCAGCTATTAAAAGTCATAATAATGCAAGACCATGGAACCAGAAAAAGCTTTTAAAAGATTATTTTTCTAAATAAGTGATTCTAAACTCAGATTATACTCACTAGACCCTGTATTTTCTGAGTTGGCAGGAAGTTAGCCACAAAACTCACATTTAAGTCAATGGGAGTTACTAAAATCAGTGGGAGTTGTGTACTTTGATCTCATGTAAAATCAGTGAATTTCAATGAAAATAGCAATCAAAATAGTGGTGGTAAATACAAAGTATCAGAGAAGATAATATATGAGTAAATGAGCCAAATATCTAGCAAAATGAAAAACATGATGGAAAAGAGAAGAAGGGTGGAAAAGAGATGATTGAAAACATTGAGTTATGCAGGACTAAAGGAGAATTTTCAGGGCTTCAGCAAACACAATTTCTTGAGAAGCTGAGGGAAAACGGAAAGAAAGCCATCAGGTATAATTGCTGTGAGGAACAACTTGGGTTTACTTTCAGTGCTGTACAAATGCATCCCAACAAGTACAACATACAAAAATAAAATCAAGAGTTAGGAGAAGGAGTTTGTATTATCATACAACCATATCATGTGTAATAGAGAAGAGACAGAACAAAGGAAGAACTGTGTGAGAAAAACAGAAAACATGGGAAAAAGTGGACACTGTACTATGGCAGAGGAAGAAAGCAGACAGCTGATAGGATATGACTGGCTGAGGAACATGGGAAGCATGTAGTCTCTCTGCTGAAGAAGGGTGATGCTGATGAAAGTAGTTGGTGCAGGGAGAAGTTAACTCTTCACAGCATGGATTTTTTTTATTAAGCAGATATGTTCAGCAAAATAACTCACTAGTCCCATAAAAAGTATTACAGTAAAACATAGGACTTTCCCTGACATAAATGTTGTAGATTTGAGTTCTCTCTAATTCACTAAGTTTTCAAACCTGTGTTAGAAAGTTTCAGAACTTTCCTTTTAGTTTTACAAGATGCAGGTGCTTATGACCCTTATAAAATGTCCGCCAAAGAAAAATGGAGAAAACCTCTCTCCTCAAAAGCTACTACTTAGAAATGGTCTTCCAGAGAAACAAGGCAATAAATAAAGAGTTGTTGATAAAAATATCTTGGAAACATTAAAAAAAAGACAAGATTTTGCAGTGGATATGAAGAATGATAAAGTTAAATGTCACCAAACAAAGTTCACTGACTGTTCATATCCATGCAACTGTTGAAAAGAAGCATGTTATTTTATGCCTATGGTGAGACTGGGCCACAATTTCAGACTCCAGAGGAAAACCAAAGTTAATTAAAAACAAATTAGAAGACTGTACTTTACTCTGTAGAGATACACAATAGATTGTATTGCCAAATGAAAGCATTTTAAAGCTTTTTTAGATCTAGGAAAAAATCATCTTTCAAAGAAATTCAGAAACAAGTCAATGTAGCTGTTACAGCAGGGATTAAATTTAGATGCCCCATGAAAAGTTCCAATTTTTATGGATGCTCTATTATCAGAACCAGTGAAGAGACAAAAAATCAAGACATGAAGTTCTAACAAACAGTAAATGGACAGTATGCAAACCAGTTGAATTATGAATTGCTTATAGGTAACATACATGTTTACTGTGACATTTTATTTAAAAATTTAACTGCTAAATTAAAGTGGCTTTATGCCTTAAAGAGCATATTTATGAGCAGGATTTTACAGTTGGTCATAATTGGTGATTTAATACACAGGCTATCGTTGCAGCTGTGTAGCAATTCAGATGAACAATTTGATGTCATTGAGAGATTGCATAAGCTTTCTAAACTAATGAAGTTGCACGTGAAAGTAAAAGATAATGCTCTGAATACAAAGCAAAAGAAGCTACAAAAACCCCCAGAACAGCAGGAGAACACAGGTAAAGGTTTTGAATAGATGCCAAGTACTAAAAGGTACAACAGAGATAAATAAAATACACAGTAAAGATGCAATATAATAAAACACTGTAATTTGGGCTGTCAGCATGAGTGTAGTGAGTTCAGAATAGAAGTGAGTTAGCTTTTATGGGATATTTAACCATAAACTGCCAGAAACTGAGACTGCTGCTGGTAATACATATTCAAATACAGCAAATGTGTCATTGGGAAAAATTATATAAAATCTCACTATGAACTTTTTGGTTGTATCTCTTGAATTTGTCCACAAGACATCTGCAATTTGCCTTTTGCAGAGTAGATAGCTGAAGAAGTGGTAGCTTCAGTGCCATTTCCCACAGTATCATGGGAATAATTATAACTACATTTACATAAGGTGTCCCTGCCCATGGCAAGGGCTTGGAACTAGATGATCCATAAGGCCCCTTCCAACCCAGGCCATTCCATGATTCTGTGGTAGTAAGAAGACTTATTTAGGACATGAACAAACTGAGACAGATTTAACAGTTAAGAATTCACGACAGTTCACAACAGTTAAGAATTTCTAGGAATACCTCCTATCACATATTTTTCCAAGTGTTGTTAACTGAAAGGTACAACCAGATCAGAAGAAAAAGAATTTTTCTTCTCTCAGTCCATCAGGACCTCTGAAATTATTTGGGTATGTGGAGAAACTATGACAGATGTCTGTCCTGTGCTTTAGGACAGCTGTTTTCCTGTATTCTGCCAGAATGGTTTCCTTGGAGCTTTGTACCACTGTGTATTGGGTTTGTCTGGTCAGGTTTTGGTAGCAGGAGGGCTACAGGGGTGGCTTCTATGAGAAGCTGCCAGAAGCTTCCCCCATGTCTGGCCAGCTCCAGGATGGACCTGCCACTGGCAAAGGCCAAGCCCATCAGGAATGACAGTAACACCTCTATGATAACGTATTTAAGAAGGAAAAAGAAAGAAAAGTTATTGTGCAGATGAAAATTGCAGCCAGAGAAGAGCAGAGTGAGAACATGTGAACAAATCTGTGGACACCAAGGTCAGTGGAGGAGAGGGAGGAGGTGCTCCAGATGCTGGAGCTGAGGTTCCCCTACAGCCCATGGTGCAGACCATGGTGAGGCAGCTGTGCCCCTGCAACCCGTGGAGGACCACCGGAGTGCAGAGACCCACCTCAGAGGAATTGGATGCCCAAAGGAGGCTGTGACCTTGTGGAAGGCCCATGGTGGAGCAGGGTCCTGGCATGGACCTGCTGACCCATGGGGAGAGGAGCCTACGCTGGAGCAGGTAGGACCTGTGGCCCTGTGGGGGACCCACACAGGAGCAGCCTGTGCCTTCAGGACTGCACCCCATGAAAAAGTGACCGACGTCAGCAGTTTGTGAAGAACTGTTGCCTGTGGGATGGACTCACGTTGGAGAAGTTCGTGAAGGACTGTCTCCTGTGGGAGGGACCCCATGGAAAGCAGGGAAAGAACTCCTCTCCCTGAGCAGTGGCAGGAACAACCTGTGATGAACTGACCATAACTCCCATTCCTTGTCTCCCTGCACCACTGGGAGGGAGGAGGTAGAACTTGGGAAAAAGGAAGGGGTGAGGGGAAGGTGTTCTTAAGATTTATTTTACTTCTCATTCTCCTGCTCTGATTTGGTTAGTAATAAATTTAAATAATATCCCCACTTTGAGTCTGTTTTGTTCATGACAGTAATCGGTAAGTGATCTCTCCTGGTCCTTATCTCAACTCATGTTATATGATAACTCTTTGTTATATTTTCTCTCCTCTGTCCAGTTGCAGAGGGGAGTGCTGGAGCAGGTTGATGGGTACCTGGTGTCCAGCCAGGGTCAACTCACTATACACTGGCTTTTTAACCCATTGTTATAGCTTAAGAGCTACAGAGGATAATATCTAAAGAAGCATCCATTCCTGGCCAATGCTGCTTGCAAGGCTGCAGTATTGTCTTACAATTCTGCTTCAGAGTGCTTTCTCATATTTGATGATTGCTATTTCAGTGTCCTGTGCTTTGGAAATGATTAAATGCAAGTTAGAGGGTTTTGCCATCCTCCCCCAAGTACTTCATACCTTCTTAAAAAGTATTTTTGGGTTGGTTGTCTGGTCTGATTTCCAGTAGCACAAGATATGGGTCTTTCACATCGCTGTTCCAGCCACCATTCTTAACTGTCTTTCAGAACCACTTTCAAATAGAACAAAGATAAAGTTTATTCTAATAATTAATTATAGAAATATAGCATTTTCATATCTATTTTTATACATATATAAATTTAAATCTTTCTGAAGCTACCTAGATTTTTCCATTATTTTTGTTTTTCTATATTTGATTTTTCATAGCTTTATTAAACTAGTTAGTTACCATCATGCAGTTCTTAATAATCTCTTCCTTAATGCCATTACTATTCACACAAAATGGTAATCTTGCATATGAAGGGGTAATAAAGGTAACTGTAAACCAGGATTCTATGTACATTTCTTAATGCAATTCCTAGTTTATTTCCAAGCAAAACTAACAACAAAAGCAACTAATTAGCAGATTATTCTGCTATTTTAACAGAATAACTTCTGGGAAAAATGCAGGGTTTAGAATAAAATGTTTTAGAATAAAATTGCCATTCTTTATTGTTCAATAAATTTTCTGCAAATTTGTAGATATTTAGTAATCTACTGGAAAAGTTTGCCACCAGTTCTAGCTTTTATCCCAAGTTTTCTGTTGTTCTGACGATATTTGATGAGGAAATTACCTACTACAAGGATATGTTTAAAAATCACAGACAGTAAGTAGTGAAAATCTCCCTTCTTTTATTAATTCTAATCATTCTTTTTAAAATTATTAATTTACCTAAAATATATTATTTATTAAATTCATTAATCTAATATAGCTTAATAATTAGTATCATTGATTATCAGTTTTTTTGCCTAGAGAGAAATATTTTATTTCTATTGCAGTTTGACATAAGTTTTAAGCACTTATTTAGGCATCTTCCATTATTTTATACATTCTTTACAATTTTATATGCAGTTTCAGAAATATAGTAATTTTCTTTGCCTGTTTTCTGGGTATTACCTACTGATTTCTCTCTTACCATTAGACACGTGCTATATTTTCATAGGAGCTTAGTTCCAAGGACTTCTTTGTTTTCTTCTGTGCTGTGTTTTTAGCAGTACACATACTTGTGTACCTATTGTACAATAACAAAAAGAACAAAATTTTTTTTCTGTCGATTTTCACACCTTGGTGATAGAAATTAAAAATTTTTCTCCTTGAAAGAAACATTAAGATGCTTAGAACAGTGTCTTCATTTTCAAGCCTGCAATTACTAAGGTATAAGAGATGAAATTTAGTATGTTCTCTGTTTCTAAAGTAATAACTCTGTTTCTAAAGTAATTAGAAAGTAAGGAAGTATATTTCCACACATACTGAAATTAGTTAAATGACTTAGGAGAAAGCTGAACAGAAGTCAAAATAAACCTGCAGAGGATTTTTGCTGATCTTCTCAAAATGCTGCCATGGCTTTTGGAACACTGCTCATTTTCATGTATTGTCAGGTTTGGCACTTCTGGCTTTGAAACAAAACCAAAATTAGAATTATTGAAAAACCATGAGACAAGCAGTTTTTCAAAGTATTTCTAGCTTGATTACAAGCAGATTTCATTGGAATTTAATGATTTAGTTCATCCTGAGATTTACTGTACCATTCAGAGTATTTATACTTTGCCAATCCTTCTGGCAAAAATGCAGGCTTTGGAAGGAAAATATTTTTAAATTCTCTCTTTACAGATCAAGTTTGTAATGATATCTATTGCCTGTGTGGAAATGAGACATTCAGGATTATGAAAGATCTCTTCTCCCTGCACTAGGATTTGAAGAAGGAGATACTATAAAAAGGAACTTGACAGTATAGCAATAGTAGCAGGAAACTGGCAGATTTTTAAAAAGCAGATGCTCTTGTGAACCGAAACACAAGTTCTGGAGGCTGCTGAAACGTTCATGAGAAATTTAAAAATACTTGAAATCTGAACACTTTCTCATCTTATTTCATTGAAATTCAAATTACGTTAAACTTCCAGTTTAAAATGAGCATGCAGATGCTTAGAATTCTTTTTTTTTTTCTTCACAACCAAATTACCTTCTGATGAAATTCAGTGAAAGCAAACCACTTAAACTTTAGACAAAAATTTAACAGGCCATATCCAGTTCTTTAGAATTCCAGTGGAAAATAATTACAGTAGAGATTGCATAGATGTACAAGAAAGCTGATGTAGCCAGTGACATTTTGGTTCTACTTCCTGACTCTAAAAGTTCAGATCTGCACATCCTTATATAAGCAGTTAAAGGTATACTTTGACATGCGTGACAAATATGGAAACGTGCTCATAAAGTTCTCAGAGGATGCTTTTTCATTTTTATAATCTGTTCTAAGTATCCTCCTCATTGATTTTTTTCTCCTCCTGATTTCTCTAATTTCTGTAGGGATTATGTGGAAGAGGAAGAAAATTTCTGCACAAAGTGTGAAGAAATTTGTCTTCTTTAAGAAAAATATAAAGAAAGAGCAATTGGTTGTCTTGGCAGTTACAGCAGAAATTAGATTTCACAATGCTCTTAAAATAAGGGTCCAAATCTGCATGGTGACAAACCACATGAGATCTGATAAATCTCTCCTCTTCATGAGATTCATGACTATAAAACAGTCTTCATTTGTGTTTGCAGCTCACTGTTTTAGTGTCATCCATGTTTATTGCTGAAGTTTTGCCAAAAGAACACCCTGCAGTTCTCCAGGCTTCAGAAGTGTTGCCTGTCAGAAAAGCCAGTGGAATTCCTTAACAATAACTGGACTTGCCTTCAGCCAGCATAAGCCCCGTTCTTCCTAAACAGATGGATGTTTCACAGAGGGCAAACGAAAGTATCTCTATGAAGCACCTGAGACTCCTCTGTCACCCAGTGTAACTTGTCCCAGGAAGCCCTTGGGTATTTGCCTAGAGACAGAGATCGTGAATCTGAAGCTGATACCTCTTTAGTCACTGAGAGTGGATTTGGGATTTTATGTGCTGCTTATACAATGGTAAACCTGGGACTATCACCATAAATATTTCTGTTTGTTTAAGTTAAAGAATGGATGTGATACACTTTATGAAAACACACCAGTGACTGCAGGCAGTTTAAAATGGTCTTATGAGTTACAAGAGGCTTCTCAGGCATGGAACACATTTTCAGCACATCAATTCTCTGTAAGTATTGCTGTAAAACATTGTACAATGGGGCTTAAAACACTTCAGGCACTTTCTGAAGTTATAGCCACATTGTGCACTTAGAAATGACATTGAGATGAAATCTCTTTTATTTCTGTAGAGTTTTGCGGATGGGGAAACAAATTGTGTTTTGCAAAAATACGAATATTGGAATAAATGTATTAATATAATGAAGAAATGGACCTCTGCTATACACGGGATCTACACCTTCTCTGTGCCTCAGACCTCGGTGTAATAATTCTCTGGAATTTGGATGGTATGAGGTAATTTTAGTCAGAAGGTTACACAGTAGTAAATTTCACTGCATGATATTAAGAATTTCTTTTAATTGTTTTAGCAATTATTTTGTTTTACGGTAAAATTCTCTTTCATTCTAGAGAGAAGCATAAGTTGTGTATCTGTTTTCATGAATTTTTACTTCAGCGTGCAAAAAAGTGTAACAGGATTGTGTGTTTGTATTATACATGTTCCCTGAGAAGCATTAGAGGTTTAAAATAAGAGAAATGACATTTAAATTTCATATTTCATATTTATATTGTACATGGGATCTAAATGAAGAGACTAGAACTGCAGGACACAGATGGCAAAGACTTGTAGCTCTTGCTTTCAGGAGGCTGCTATAAATTCTGCTTCAGTAAATTCTGTAGTCATGATGAAGTAACTTGAGATAGCTTTTTACTTGGTGTCTGATTGCCCTTTTCTGAATAACAAAATCTTTTGTGATTCTGTAGCTTTCTGCTATTTCTCCAAGGGGTGTAATATCTTGAAATTTTACAACATCCTTCTAACACCAAGCAGTTTCACTGCTTTCGTATTGCAAGAGACACACTAGGTAAATAAAGAAGATTCTTATTGACAGATGCATGTGAATATAAAAGCATACTAGAAAATCGACATAACCATAATAAACTACACTAAACTAAAACCAAACTGTTTTCAACTTTTTTGCAATTATCTTGTCTGTGGGATGGTTGTTAGTCTGCTTGTAGTTAATCATACATTGTAGCCTTATTGAGTGTATGTTTACTTTTCTTTGAATACAAAAGGATGACCTCTAATGCATTAATTTATTAAATGCATGGAGAGAGCCAGCTCCTCCCATCAGGAAATTTATGGAATCAAGCATAAGTGGTTTACAAGACTAGTAAAGGATGATGAAAGTTCTCTTACTAGGCTATGTAGAATGCTTTTCAGGGACTGGAATAAAATCCATTGTTGATTTTAGTCCAGTTCTCAGAGATATATTTTGACAAAACTACTATCATTACTGGGGTAAGTACTGATCGGAAGAATCGGCCTCCCTTGTAGAAACAAAGAAAAAAGTTACCTAATGGGACTTCTTCCTGCTGATGGAAATGGCATCTCAGGAACTGGGCAGACACATATTGGACTTCTCTGTAAATGTTAGAATGAACCTTTTCAATCAAAGTTGTGATGTTAGATTCATTTTAGTTAAAATAGTTCTAGTTTGCATATGGACAGCTAGTAAGATAGACTTTCCAAGGCTCTAAACATATTCTTATATAATAAGAACAAACTGATATCATCCAGTTTTGAAACAGGGTAATGTCCTCACTGAGAATTTTACCAGTTTGGCTGCACTGTCTGTGAACTAAAACCCGAGTATTTCACACAGAAGCTATGACAGAAAGACAAAGGAGGAGCTGCAGTAAGAGAAACTTGTCCTGCTTTTGTCTAGTCATCCATCTCATGGAGAGCCAGAAATGTTCAGTGTTATGGTCTATCCTGGCACTTTTTGTATATGTTGAAAGCTCTACTAATGTACAAATAGGATGCAGACTCTGCTATATATAATAATAAGAAGGTTGAATCAATTGAGAACTTGGCAGATATTTTTAAAACTAGGAGTCTGAGCATATTTGATTTTCATTCTTTTCTCCCAAATGAAAAGACCAATGGTTTATTGCAGCATAACAGGTAAACTTGAGTTTGGTACAGAACAGACTGAACAAAGAAGGAAGAAATCTGTTTAAAAATATTTCTGATAACCTTAGAAAGAATAAGAGTTTTTCTTACTCTCCTTATACTGCAAATTTAACTGTAATTACAAAGCTGTGCCAGAGGCTGTGAAAGACCATGCTGCATGGAGAGTTTTGACAAACAACTGATGCTGCTTCTAACTTGGCAGAGTGCAGGTCTCTGCGAGTGTAATGAACAGGCAAGGAGACCTTGTTTAAAATGTGGATGAAAGAATCAGAATATTCAAGCATAATGTGAAATTGGATGTTGTGTAGATTGAGTCAAACACTGTTTTTATCAAGAAAAAAATGGCAAAAATCTTTTCATCTATCCTTTGATTAAAAACAAAGAGTGAAATGTTCAAACTATGGAGTAGATTCAAGAAACAGTAGAAAAGATTTACCAGATAATCAACATGACAGTAGATCCAGTGAATATTTTGTTCTGGGAGTAGCTATTGTCACTAAGTAGGTGTCAATACTTAGAAAAGCCAGGATTAAGTAAAAGCTAAAACTGTTTTCAAATATTTGCACTTGCTGATGTAAATCTAACTCCAAAGGGAAATAGTTTTCAGTAACTAGTTCCAGGTGTACTTGTAAAAGTTACAATGGAAAGGTAATTATGTTGTAAATAGTGGGAATGCACTTCATCAAAGTGAGAGTTTCTTTATTCCTGGGCTCAGTTAGCTGAAATAAGGAATACACACTGGAAAGTGCAATTCTAAACCCCTGTTACTCTAAATTACTCTTTCCAGGACAATCAGTATTTGCTCCAGGCAGATCCTCTTTCTGATGAATGGAAACTCTACACTGAATACGTACACTACATGATTGTAGATGGACTGTTCAAAGCTATCAAGTGTTCTCTTCAGTATCTGACTGAAAACATTGAGACAACATTTAAATCCACTACTTTATTTGAAGTGCAGCTTTTTCTTAATAGCAGTGAAATGACTTTTAAATGTTCTTTGTACTTAATGTCAATGGCAATTTCTGTGATATTATGGAGAGTCTAATCAAAACCAGCTATGATACTGCATCATCTGTAGACAGATTTGTCAAATACCTTGGAAAAGACCCTTTTCAGTTATTCTTACTTTTGCTACTTTTCCTTTTTAAAAATTTTTTTGTTAATGTCACAATTGACCTTTCCTCTAGGCATTTGAATGTAGTTGTTTTCCCAGTCCAGTCACTCTTATCCAGTGGCTTATGTGAAGAAGGCTAATATCTGAAGAGAGGCTGTGAGGCTTTTTCCCATCTGTTTTCTGTGAGCTGTCATATTCTACTCTCCTTAACCTCTGCCTCTCTTGTTTTATGAATGCATCCAGTCATTTCCATCAGCCACCAGCATATATTCTTTGAATGATATTAGCTAACTTTTTAACAACTTCTGGTTCACTTGCCTAATTGAGAGTGCCTTTCTAATACACTGAAATCTGCAGCTGGATGATGGACTGTCTGCAAAGCCGGTTCATGAACTTGCCTTCTACTTTTGCTTGTGTACTGTGCCCAGGCGGTCTTTGGCTTTACAGTGCCTGTGTTACTGAGCATTTGGTGTCAAATGACTTCTATATATTCCAGGTTGGGCATTTCTCAAGTACTGTGGGTTTCTTTGTGATTGTTGGTTGAATATTTGCTTTCTTGGTGCCTCATTTCTCATTAGGACAGCTAATACTGTTTCTGCTCCCAGATCTGCAAGTACCACTGAGCATATTTATCCACAATTTCCTTCTCTATAAACTGTGAGGTTATGTCCACAGATGGCAGAAAAAAGTGGTTTGTGAATTGCAGTGGAACACTTTTGCTAGAAATTTAATGTTAATGCAAGTTTTTGTGCAAGAGTATTCTTGCTGGACTAGCAGGACGTGCAAAATGCTTTGTGCAATTTCTTCCTTTTGCAGGTCTTTTTTAATATCAGATGGAAACAAATATCAATAAATAAATATATCAAAATCACCGCTTATTCAGGGAAAAATAGATTAACTGTAAATTGGTTACACTGTATAATAGTGAAAAATAAACAAAGGATAAGGTTGGACTCAATATTCCAATTTTTGAAACCCTATGAAAAATGACACTGATGGTCATAAGGACCTGAATCCCAATCCATCTCACTAGCTAGTGCTGGAAGTTAAATCAACATGTTGGAGGATGTAGTAATAACAAGTGCAATGTTTTGTGTCTGACTGATGACAATAGGTACTTTGAATTTTTGATGTTAGTGTGATGCATGAAACAGAAATTATAATTCTGGAGAAATATGTATCCAAGCAGTCATTCCTATTAACTTGTTTCAGGGAGCAGACAGGAAACTTGATGTTAACTGTCAAGTTATAATTGTCATTGCCATCAGTACAATATCGTGGGTCTTGGCATGTGACTTAGCTCTAAGGATGTCTTTTCTTTCTTGAATTTACTCTTTGCCTCCACTGCTTTTTCACTTTTGGATGTTCATTTAGCATGACTTAGATCAGATGGATACCCTGGAAGAAATAAGTCAAGTAGCTCTGAGGAACAAAGAGTGGTACTTAATGGATTGATGATGAAATTAGATGTATAAAGCAGTTTCTACTCTGTGGACGATTTCTTAGTAAAGAGGAGGTGGAATTTTATGAAAATTATGAGGTTCATGAGACTTAGTTCATTCTAAAGAATAGGTATTTCCATTTCTGCCTATTATACCACCTTGTGCCTATTAATAAAATATAATATGTCTATTAATGAAATATAAATAATTACATTACTTTGTTGATTTGTTTAAAATTTAGTGTTCATCATGTTTCATTTTGTTTGTTGTTGTTTTTTTTTTTTAGGCCCAATATTCTAAAGAACTTCAAATATTCTCAAGAACCTTCAAATCAGAAGAATTTTTAATAGTTAATTCAAATCAAGTTGGCCATATAATTAAATATAATTTAAATATAATTGGTGAATTTAATTTAAAAATTAACCTGAAAATTTAAGGAAAACAGCTCAGCTTTAGGCAAGCTTCTCTAGTTTCTCTATCCTATATATTTTTTATGTATACACTCATAAACACAAAAATGTATATATATGTAATCCTTTTCTGTATATGTGTATATATATTTGTATTTGTATTTATATTAAGAAGGATGGACTGAAGGATCTCTTTAAGTCCCTTCCATCCCTTTTAGCTATGAGACGATAGAGAGATTTTGCAGACTTTTGTCTCCCTGCTGCCTTGGGTGTTTCCTTGGGACAACAGACATAATGTCTTTGGCCTTACATTTCTTCTGGATAAACATCAAATTCTCAAAAATGTTGCTGTTTTTACGGTGTTCATAATATCTTAGAAATAGTTATTTCTTCTTTGATTGTTGTGGACTGTATTTTTTACTCATTACTGTATTAAGGATTTTTAACAATTCTGTCCTCTTTGGTATAAATTTATATCTACAATGCATTTTAAAATGGCACTTTCACCATGCTGAAAAACTTCAGCAGGACTATTTAGAGCATGAGAGCTGGTATCTAGATTGAAAATTGCCTGTTTACTATCCTAAAGATCCATTCTTTGGGAGAAGAGCTCTTTGAAATTAGTGGCAGTCCTGGATTCTTCTAAAAGATGGACGTGGATCACAGTGCTGTACTCATCCCCTCAAATGCCCATCTAAAGTATTCAGACAGCAAGCCCCCGCCCCCGATTCTGCAGCACTGAGAACCTGAACAGAGTTATTACTTGAACCACGTGCGGCAGATGCAGAAAAGAAAGAGATGGTCAAGCGTAAATGAGTCCATTATATTTCTCAAGAATATCTTGTCATATATTTCTCTCTTGTTTAAAAAGAGGGGGGAAAAAAAGAACTCACCAACCAAGCCTTAACACCATGCTTCTATGTTTTATTTGATTGAATTTACTTGTTCATTAATATTTTTATGTTTGATTTGCTTTAAGTTTTCATGTGCTCTGTGCTACATTACTTACATATTATTAGTGCTACTGAATGGAGGGGCTCATTCATGAAACCAGAGACAAGTTTGACTAAGAAAATGTGAGGAGAGTACACAGCTCTGGGTGAAATAATGGAACATCCACAGAATCAGAAAGGTTGCAAAGACCTCCAAGATCGTAAATTCCGACCTTTAATTGAATACCATCATGCCCACTAAACCTTATGGTGAAGTGCCATGTCTACTTGGTTTTTGAATGTTTGAAGGGATGGTGACTCCACCACTTCTCTGGGGAACCTGTTTCAATGCTTAGCCATTCCTTCAGTGATCCAGTGTCTATGCAGGACCACGAATTCATAGAATACATTTTTGAAGTCTTAAAACTGACCTCTTGAGAACTTGTGGATAGCAGCTGTCAGAACTGGGAGTGAGGATTCAATGCAGAACCGGAGGTAAGGATTCAACATAACAGTTATAAAACTTTGGCACATACTTAAATAGAAGCAAGTATAAAAATAACCCTGGATGAAATTGTATATTTTTTATTTTACAGCTCTTTACATTAGACATTTTTTTTACTGGATATATTTTAAAATATAGAATGATATCTGCTGTATGTTCCCAATTCTAAGGTAAATACTATATTGACTTAATCGGGTACAAAATAGGGACATTGTACATTTTTCTTAGTGTTCTCAAGTTTCATTCAAGGGACTTAATGAAAAGTGTTTATCAATGCTGTACCACCATTGTCCTCCTAGGAATCAATTAAAATGTTTAGAAGACAAAGTTATTTGTCCGTGGGAGGTAGTGTTTTCACCAAAGTAGTCATACACTAAAGGCAGTTTCGATGTTAAGTTTTAACTGTGGATTGCCTTTATTAGTGGAACATAGATTTCAAAACCAGACAAGACCTTTAGTTTAGTTTATGCAGTCTGCCGTCCACAGAATAGGATTTCCATGTTGCACAAATATATCTTAGAAGGACCACCGAAAAAATTTTACTTTTGTTTTTGTGTTTGTGCTTGCTAATCCTGAAATGCAGCCATTAATGTAACATATGCTCCTATCCAACCCTTGCTGCTAAGATCAGAGCTGAGGGATACAGAGGGATCACATGGCTCAAATAGCTAAAGATTCTTGGTCAGGAGTTCAAGGTGGGATGTGTGATATAGTGGACTTAATCCAATGTATGATTTACAGCAGAACCTTAGTCTTGGTGGTCTCTCACATTCCAGATGGATGCATGAAACATGAGGAAATCCACTGCTGCATTTTGATATATACAAATTTTATGTAAAAGCTGTTGAAAGGTTGGTTCTGTCTACTGTCCTGCTGAGACAAAAATAATTTTTGAAACATGAACATTTCTGGTTAAATGAAAATTCCTTTTTCAGATGATCTTAGCTAAGAAACTCACAGGGAACATTTGATTTTAGTTTTCATAAATAAGACCTGGCAAACAACTACTGAAAATGGCTCAGTTCACCTCTGTTCACAAAATTAAAAGGTTTTTCTGTGCATAACCTGAAGCTGGTTAAATCCTGATCCTGTAAATATCTACAGGGTAGTCTTTATCTTGCAGGATCAAGGCATTCCTTTTTTTTGCAGTAAATCGGGTAATTAGCAGCTTAATCACTTTGCACGTGTACAAACTGTCAGGGTCCTGCGTGCACTAATAGGGCTTTAATGGCCGGCTCCACCTCACACCCAGAGGACTCCACTTAAGCTTAGCCCTGAGCTTTTGGTTTCTCTCAGAGGCACGTGGTAGGTGTGCATGTCTTACAGCCTGCCTCTGGCCTTGCCACCTGGGTGGACTTGGACCTAGATCTGGACCTGTGCTCCAGGTATGCTCTTCTGGATAGACCCCCATGGTTGTCTGTACGCTCTACCTTGTCCTTACCTCTGTCCCTCCTAACCCTTCTGGCTGTACCTCTT